ATCTTAGCCTCCATTTGGTGCAAAAATATCCTTGTAAATCACTTTCTCCTGGACAATATCTGTTCCTCAAAGTTCACAGTTTTCCTTGAGCTTGACTCTTACAAAATTGTTCACATCTTGGAACAGATACTGCCAGCAGATAAATATCCCTGCCAACTTTCAAGCCAAATGGAGGCCATTTATCTGTTATAAGCAACTGTTCATTAATGCTTCTTGCTACAAATGGGAGGTTGCAAATCAAACATACAAACACGACCCTAGAAAAATGTTTTAAATTTCGGGCTCACAAGTGGTTGTTCTTGTGTAAGAAATTTGAGCAACAACTACCAAAACCATTTGTTTAAAAAAGATTTGACTGAAAAACAGTTATAATAATAATAATAATAATAATAATAATAATAATAATAATAATATACCGTTTATTTGCCACATTGCAGAATCAACTGAATTAAAGGGCTACATTTACAATCAATAATCAGCTAAAACTACAATCACTATAAGAACAATAAAAATATCTTAATTAACTATTTACATGTTTGCATATTCACTATTGAAAGAGATAAAGGAACCTGAACATGGGTCTGGCAACGACTCCTATCAGCATAAACAATACTTCTGCTGTTGTCACCGGATCGAAAGTTGTAACTATGACCACTCGTTGCTGTTCTCGGTATAAGAAAGTTAAAGGGATTTTTTAGACATCTTCCGACTGATAAAGTGGTCGTTCACTATCTTAGCTCAGGCCTTAGTGTCTGGACAGTTTTCTCCTAGGAATTGATGGAACCATTCCTGTTGTATATCCTGACCTGTCAATAACTTGATTGTTTCCACCATTTTTTTGGGTCCTTCTGCCCAAGGTCACTTACTTTATGATGGTAATAGTGGTATTTTGCCAACCTTATTTCCCATTGGACTTCATTCCTCAAACACCTATAGGAAGCGGAGTCTTTTCCGTCAAGGGTGAATGCAGTTTTTAATTAGCATCTTGATTCTCTTTGTTGTCCAAGGTCTATCAGTTGGATGAATTCTAACAGTTTTCCGAGGAAGGTAGATGTCGACTGCATTTTGTTGCTTGGTAATGAAGATGTGAAACTTATGTTGGCATGACTCTGCCGAAAACAACTGCGATTAGTCTTTGTTAGTCAGCCAATGTCCGAACTCACGCCATGCGCTGTCCCGTAAATCGCGTACTGTTACCTTTTGGATTACATGTGGATGCGTGCTAGTTGTTATTGGTTTTGCTAAAATCGTAAAATGATCACTCCTTGCTATCTTTGGTAAGTTAAGACAATTGAAAAATGGCGGGTCTATTCGTAAGAAACCAGTCGAGGGTTCTTGTAGCTCTGGTCTCAAATTTTACCATTTGTTTAAGATTGATTGTCTGCGTCAAGTCCTTTGGTTTGAGACCCGTCGAAAGAGGGTTAAAATCCCCGGTGTAGCCACGAGAGTTATTTGTTATCAGTTCTGTCGTTCGTCTTTGTTAATTGTAATTAGTGCAAGTAGTTCTCATCTCGATAGTTCAGTTCTGTATTTATTAGTTTGTATTTTTTCATGCTGTCAAAATGTAAATTAAGTTTGTCAGTGTTGTTTCATGTAATCGCCTTTGAGTATTGTGTAACCTTGTTTAGTCTATTGTTTTAGCCTTTATCCAGTATATAACATCGTAGTTGTAATTTTTATTCAGTTGTTTTATTCCGTAGTGCCGTACAGATCTTGTAAGTAGTTACGACTTCGTTTGTATTTCCCTGTGTTTTTTCGTATTCATTTCGTTGTATTTCAGTTTCCTTGAGTTTAAGTTCGCATTGTTAATTCTGTATTTTTTTCTGTGTGTTATGTTTAAGTGAATTGTCGACATTAAAAAAGGTACGCATTTCAAACTGTGACGGACTGTCAGTTACACCCAGTAATCACCACCAATGCATTAGGTTGTTTCATGAGTAGGCTGTCCAAAGTTGATCGAATATGGTTGGACAGAACACCGTTTTCAGGTCGTCTGTTAGCTGTTGAATGGTAAACGACCCAAAGAATTATTGACGAGATCGATCTAGGAAGGCTATGAGGCCTCAAGGAAAGCCACAGAGACTCCAAATCTGATTGCTCACATTGAGACAATTGGGTGCACGGAATGGTTTGTCTTAAATAAATGCAGCCCCTCCACCATGCTTAAACAAACGATCCTTCGTAAAAAGGTTGTATCCCCGTATAGCCACCGCAGAGTCTGGAATTTGTGGTGACAGCCAACACTCTGAGATACAAACAGCATCAACATCGTTACATTCAGCGACGTATTGCAACTCATCAACCTTATTATTGAGAGATTGTAGATTTGCAGTTAAGATGACAGGGATCCTACAGCTCTTCTGATAGGGAATCCTTTCCACTACAGATCTGTCGACGGTCCCGTGAGTAGGCCTTTTGTTGTCATTTTCAATGAAGTGTGAGGAATACCCTCAAGGAATCAATTCCTGAATTGATTTCTTGAGGGTAGTGGTTGCTTATTAGAGTGGTCAGCTCTTACCATTCCAAATATATTGGATACATTGTAGAGCAAATCAATATTTTCCCCAAACATTGACTTGCATTTGCAGCTTTGGAGCTAGAATCTACATCACCTTGGTAGGATGTTTTTGTTCATGATAAATTAATGTTGTGCACACAATCACCATTGCTGTGTAAGACACTTACCAAACATTTTTTATACTTTATAAGCCAGAGATGGGGGTTTTCACAGAGTTAAAAATGATTTCCATGCAGTATTAATAATACTTTTTACATTTAATCTCTTATTGGACCAATCAGTGAAGAACAGTGAATAGAATGCTGATATACATTCTACTTCGTATTACAAGTCTCCACACAGAGATAAGAACAAAAAATACACGATACTGATCCATAACTAAGTACACAAATTTGGAGAAATTTTTTCTGTGCGAAGCAAAGGACATTGATAAATGTAAACATCTCAACAGTGACTAGTAAAGATGTAAAGTTTGGTATTCTCGAGACAGATTTCAAACTATACTTGTGAAATATTCGTTTTCTTTTTCTGAGGTTCAGTTAAATAATATTTCAACAGATCCTAAAGCAAAGCTATTTGTTTCTCAAATACAATACTGAGTAATATGAAAGTACCACCTAGGTTGCTGGGAAATGTGCAAATTGATTTGCCATTCATGTCTACAGCCTTCAAAAAGTACACATAGGAACAGATTGGAAGGCAGGGCCCCAGGTGTACATACATTGTACTGAAGAAAGCCTATGGCCTGTTGTTATAGTAGGAGCTGTTTGTGTAAACCTCCATATGTTTGATGTCGGCTTTTTTTACATCATACATCTTTGCTAGTGTATAAAAATTATCCAAAGTCCACTTCACAAAGAAGCCAAAATAAACCACATGGAAATACATTCCATGTGGTGAACTGGTCATTTTCTTCTGTAATTTAAAATACAGTCCTCTGCAGATAAAAGATAACCTATTATCACAAGTCAATATGCTGCTAAGATTAGCCTTATTAAATTTTCCTTGACAGAAATGTATTCGGCAGTTTTACCGGTAGATACTTGATACCTTAATTAAACCCAAACATGTAACTTCTGAACAGAAAATGTTTTCATGTCTGTTCCAAGAGAAACCTGGCTATTTTGTTAAAAAAAAAAGTTTCCGTGTGCATTTGTAAATAGGGATTTTTACGATACATGCGAATGAGTTCAGAAGCTTGTCACACCTTACTATATTCGACAAAATAATGTCGCCTTATCTACGAAATTTGTGCGCTCCTTTTTAATTTTTTACTATCAGAGATTGCAGAGGATAAAAACAGGAACCCATATGCATAAAATAATGGATCGGATGATAATTTTGCAAGAACGGAAAGAGTTTCCTGTCACACGTTGAGCGATTTGTGTAAACATCAAATTCGCTAGGTCTAGCTTTTAAAAGGGGTCACGAAAACCCGAACAACATACAAGTGCTCCATTGAGCTAAAATCCACTCTAAACCAGATCGAATAAAAACAGTAAGTAGAATTCAAGTTAAATATCGGACCAGTATACAAAATAGACATATACATCTTCACTGAGATCCGACAGTTAGAGAAATACGTGAAAGGGTTCCCTAATCAAAGAAATGTTAACAAACGTGACGTGGAAAGTGACAAAAACGAATTTTTTTAGCGCATTTTATGAGGTCGGTTTTTCTTGATCTGACCGCTTACACTAACCGAAAGAATAAAACAATCAATAGGCTTATTCGGGTATAACACCAATTCGTTCATTGCGGAAATCGAAGCAGCCCATTCCTTATCGCATTATTGGTTGCTCGGCTATTCTTGGCCTTGGCAATTCGAATTACTCCAGGGCATTCTGCCCAAATTTTAATTGAGCTGCAAATATATCTCAAAGACAACCGTCTGGATTGCGCTTAGTGCAAAGAAGTAAACAACTTTTCTGATAACCATACACATTAAGATTGAATATTTTTCATGGAAATGTCAGGTTCACAACTTCAAAAACCATGTGCACGAACCACCATGGACGAAATACAAAACTTTTGCCATTTGGATCGAAGTGTTCCTTTAAGATTTGGCGATAAGTTTTCCGCAAATTTAGAGAAAAATAGTTATCCCTATTGTAAGAAAACAAATGGATCCCCAACGCGGTGGATAACAAGCTTCATCTCCTCTATAAACAATAATAATTTAAGCTTATTGTCGAGTCCCAATTTAGCTAGAAAAAACATGTTTCTGCAAATGTGGTCGTTTAAACGTCTATATTACTTCAATATTTAGTTCTCTAGGCATAGAAGAAAGCCCCTGCAAATAGTAAAGTTCATCATACTCTGAAATCTACGCGAAAGTAAAATTATATTACACTTTTGAGGGAAAATAGTTTTTCCACTTAATTTTTGTTGGACAAATCACCGATCTAAATAGATGTTCTTGCTCAAGTGATAAAAAACCCGGTAATTTCAACTTTTAACTTGTAAAAGATAATACTCTTACCTTACAAAAGGCGAGTACAGCTGGTACCTACTTATTTTCTTCGCCGAAACAGGCCTTAGAAAAGCAATTTTGTCCGCAAAGTCAGTCATGATTTTGCAGAAACTTACTCACAACAAACATGGCCGCGAATTTGAGGGCGTGTTTAGAACCGTGACGTCAGCCGAAGTTTCGGTCTGATTGGTCAAGCTTGGATTTTGCCGCGAAATCCAAAATGGCGCGGTAAAAGAGCATATTGAAAAAGTTTTGTTTATATCTACGGATGCGATTCGCTTCAAAGACTGTGACCACGATTCGCCCCATTAAGTAAATAACCCTTCAAATACCACAAAGCTCTTTTAGCAATCTAATTGACGTTCTTTTAACATTCATGAATGTTCATCCATTGTTTTCAACAATCTTTCCTTAAACTTTTTCTTTCTTTCCTAACGACATTGTATCAAGAATATCGAAGAAACTTATTATCAACGTTTTGTAGTCTTAATATATGCAAAAATATACAAGAACTGTTTCTACATGGATATATTCACGGAGATTATAAAACTCCGGGATCTAAATACAAGGTAATAAATTAATGTTTGTTTTGTAAGTGTCCACGTAAATTTCATTTACAAACTTTAAAAGTTAAAAGACTTCACATCCCAAAGTTACTTCTCATCTAAAAAAGATCGTCTTCGATAGAATTTAAATCGAGGTCGGAATTGTAATCTAAATGAAAGACTCCTTCGTCCTGAGCTTTGGGGTTTAAATTGTGTGATCCTTCATTCTGGAAGTCTGATGTCTTGTTTTTTCCTTTGAGTTCTTCGATGATTTCAATCTCGGAATCCAGCTGTTTCGTTGGCGATGAAGAAGGAGTTATCATAACACTACTGTTCGGAGCGCACAAAGGCGAGGAGGCAATTGGTTTCAGCGTAAAGTTCTCAGACTCGGCAAAGTAGTTTGTTAATCCCCTTGAACACTTTTTATTCTATAACAGAGAAAAACATACGAATTTGCATTAGGAATTATCTGGAAAAAGCGTTCACCGCGAATACGAGTCATTAAATTACCATGTATTTTGGTATCCGAAGTCCCTTTTTTCTGTTCTGACAACGGAAATAAGACGTCTGCAAATAAAAATAAAACACCCTGGTTTATTGCCGCTCTGAAGTACTCACTAATCATTTCTAACATGAGTGAAAAAAAAAACATAACAAAGTTAGAAACCGTCTTTTGTAAAATATTCATAAAAATAAATTATTCAAAACTACTCAGTGATTATTTAGCTTCTCGTCAGGACTAACGAATAACAATTTTTCTGTCAAAGCGATTCTGAAATATATTAATCTAGAATTGAGACCTCTTCCATTTTCGCCAAGTCCAAGGCAGGTCTGTGTGAGTCGAAATCGTCTTCAATTCTTCTTTTAACACCACTTTTTTTACGATCGAAGCAAGGTTGAGAACGGCTTCTATGCAAACCAGGCAAATTCGGTTTCCAGTTAAAGTTCAAGTCTCTATTTTCGTTAATCTTACTACAAGTAGGATCAGACTCTGGACTTTCATTTTTTGTAAATAGGTGTTTTTCCCCAAGGGCAGCATCTGCTGAAGCAGGTCTTGGTGTTGGCGAGGCAGGAGGTGTTGATATAGATTCCACTTCGCTGTTTATCCACAGTAGCTCGGCCAATTTAAATTTGTCGTCCGGGCATGATACCGATCGTGGTTTTTTCTCACAGTTTTCTACCGCTTGCCATACCGCGGAAGCTCGCGGAGCCCACAACGGTTGTACCTCTGTACTTTTACTCCCCAGCAGGGACAGAGAAGAACATAATTTCTTATTTGCGGGTGGCAGAGTGGTACTGTGCATAGCTGATGAATCGGTCACAGAGCAGTTATTGCAGTATGTTCGTCTGGGTCGATGAGAAGGATAGCTTCGCGTCCTTGAATGACCAAATGTCTGTCGTACATCTCCATGCAGGCGGTAAGCGATAGGACATTCTAAAAGCAAAGTGAAATATTTCATTGTGAACCATGTGTTTTGTAGCAGTTCATCGGAACAAAAACAATGCGTTGATGATTACATGCAAGTTTTTAATTGGCGAAATTTCCTACTACAGTTTTTAGAACTGCAGAAAATTTCTGGCACCACACAGAAGGGAAACATCTCAAATGCAATTTACCTGAAACGTGGTTATTCCGTGAAGATAGGACTCGGAGCTGTATTGCATTTATCTAAAAGCAAAGCAGCGAAGAGTAAACATCATTGAAATTCGTGTCAACTCGCGATCGAATCAGAACGGAAAGCCCCCTACGACAGGTCTTTCGAACGAATATCATTTAATTCAAATGTTAGTTACCTCGGGTTCATCCCTGGGAAGGTCCTCGAGCGACTGATTCTTCAGCTTGTCTGTTATGACAGTCACCATCGTGGTTTCGCCACATGAAGGCCACGATCTACAGTTCTTTGTATTGAATGACAGAATATAAATTTAATGAGTGACTGACGCGCGAGGCATTCACTCGAACTTGTCGACTGCCCTAAAAGAGAATTAAACCGGATATCAGCCGTCACAAATACAAATTCGATAAATTTGAAAGAACATGAATAAGATTTACCGTAGATAGGTCATTCCCGATCGCTGCTAAACTAACCTTTCTGAGCACCGTGACATGGTGGGTTTAGTTTCGGATGTCGTAGTAGCTGTAGTAGTAAATTTCATTCGATCGTCTAATCGAACCAGCAGCACAACGTAACTTCAGGGCCTGAGACAAACGCATTTAAGAAGTTATTCTCGTTTTCCTTTGATCTCTTTCCGTACTAAACACAGTTATTCTCGCAAAAAAACCCAAACCCCCTGGCGAAAGAAAAATTATCTAGCTTAGTACACGAGCAAAATGAAATTACAAAGCGAAGCATTTCACTGCTACTAAGAAAGTACACATTTCGATCTATTAACAGAAACCTCTTTCAGATACCTTCGATTTGGCGATTTCTTTGGCTGACAGCTTGGCAAATTTGATGATCGGTTCTAGGCTAAGGTTAATCGAAGAAAACCGGATAGATAATCTTGTTGAGCATACAAAACTGGCCAGTTTGGAGGGCTTTTGTGGCCTCTAAATGCCGAATAGGGTCTGTCTGATTAGAGATGTCATCTTCTAAAGAACAATCTCCCCAACCAATCAGAGCGCAGCAACGGGTAAATGGCCGCCTCTGATTGGCTCGTATTTCTTGCTGACGTCCACTTCTTTGCCATCAATGAATTTGCAGGCAAAGAAAAATTTTATTGCCAAATCAACCAACCAACTCGTGTCGCTACAACGCGGACTTTGTGAGAAATTACTCTAATTAATTCATTCTCACCTCGCTACAAACACAATGTCACCTATGACACGATTGGCTTCCTATCCCTACACTATTGTGGAAAATTCACAAGGATAAGAAATTTGCAAGCCTTCTTCTTGTCCATTTGAGCGCTTCCTCCCATAAAAATAGAAACAAGATTACCGATGTGTGTATTGGTTTTCATGTGCCGGTCGTTTACATCTCTTTCTAACTGGGAATGTTTCGTAAGCAGCGCTGAATCATGCAGGCAAAGGTTACAAACCCCTTGCGGGATTGACGAAAATAGGATTCTTAATTTATTTTTTCCGAATTTCGCTTTATTTCCTCTCGGTCTTAGTAATATAGTAAAAACAAATTGAGGTCGTTGTAGCGGTAATGAATTATACATATTCCATCTATAGACACAATTCTGATACGATATTCGATTATTCAAATAAGCTCCAACTTATTTTTTTTATCCTTCTAGAGAGTTTTTCTCGTTAATGCGATTCATAGTGCCTATTGTTAGCAGAACACAGCCGGAGTGAAACACAATTTTAGCATAAGTTCTGAATAAACTTGAAATTCATCTTAAAAACACAGTGTGAAAAGGTGGCCAGTGAAACCAATATCTCTAGCTGGCTGAATTAGATTTATATGCCTTTTTCAGTTCAATCTTGTCAATATGTTTGATTTGTTTGCCTCGTGACGCAACATCTTTTGTTGCAATTCCGGAAAAAAATCCTTGTGTACTTAAATAAATCTTACTACCGAGCTGCTCTAAAGGAAAAGATTATAAAACTGGACTACGATGGGTCAACATTGCACACCTAAGGCATTGTGCCACCAAACTGAAACAGTCCAGGGGGAATGTGGAGGTCGCAATACCTTGCCATCCTTCGCTTTACCGATCGTAGCGAATATCTTCCGCAACAATAGCGAAGATCAACTCAGGCCCCGTCAGCTTAAACGGATGACACTTTCAAATGAAAAGCTTAACAGTTAATTCATTCATATGCCCAGGTTTGTTGCCGCGCAATTGCAAGGGGTTTGAATTGCTAAGCAGTTCAGTAAATAACTGGGTTTTTTATCGCTGTCTCCAGTTGAGGATATTTTCCAAATAACCTCATCACAGGCACGAAATGACAACAGCTTTGCCAACTGCTTACTTTTTAGTTCATTTGCACTTAAGTGGGATTTTTCTTCGGTAAATAGAATTTCTAGCAGAGATGAAAGAGAGTGAGCTCTGAAAAATGGTGATTTAGGGAAACATCGCATGCATAGCAGTGAATACGTTCGGTGGGGAACTGAGTTTAAGAACTTCCTCCCTGTGAAAAGAAACCAATTAGAGAAAAACATTTTGGTGTAAAATGAGGTTTATGATGAGAAAAACTACAGCTTCATTGTCTCTGTTCAAATGCATACCCAACGTTAGGTCGAATATTTGTAAAAGCACGGTGAAAAGCAGCGGAAGCCATCATCAGGGTGTATTCTTAAACGATAGTTCACACTGAAAAATGTTTTCTTTTTCCAAAGGGATTTCAGACATAACTCCGTTGGTGATTGGGAACGCGTGCATTTTTTGTATTTTATTCAGGATACTTAACTGCACCACCTGGCCTGAATATCACCAATTGACAGCGACTAAACAAGCTTTATTCTTTCACCTTTTCATCAATCCTAGAACTTTTTACAAATCTTGCATAACTTGCACATGTTCCGTTGTAAAAACATTTCGAAACTAATTCATTATTAGGCTCTGTCATCTAAAAAATATGTTACCTATCATACGATACGTTTGAATAAAGCTTTTCCGCGGATCCAAAAGGAAAACACTTCTGCCACCAGAATATGGCAGAGAAAAAGTTTTGAAACCAATGTTCGTAATAATTACAATCGCGGGCCCAACTTACACTTGCAGCTTTTATTCATCCGCTGCAAAGGGAAATTTTCAGAAATAAAAAATAAGATGTCTCAAACTCGCCCATTCGCACTATGATTCTATGCGCTGTGTACAGTAAGATGGTATCTTCTTCACTCCGGACTGACTCAAAGATTCTAATCTTCATTTAAATATATAGTTATCAATGGAGAATCGTGCATGCTCAAATTATGAAATGTGAAGTGAATAAAATTATTAATAACTCCACCTAGCTGGGAACTTAGAGTGCCTCATCATCCTTCTTAAACGTAAATACTGTAAAATTAAGCCAGTTTTCAAGGACTGCTTTTCTCTGACCTGTTCATAACGGCATAAGATAATTATTAAGACCAGATATTTGAGAAATGTTGAAATGTTTTTCTCGGTGCAACGGAATATCGATGTTGTTTTTCTCGTCCGTAAAGTCAACTGATGCGCATCTTTTTCGTGTTCGAGGCCTGTTCTTCTTCTTACATATGATTAAAAACTTAACAATTACCTTCCTCAGACAAATCTATACATTACCTTCAAACACAATCTTTTCCGAAAATATTCTTGTATCGGTGCTCAACACATCCGCCGAGCACTACAAAGATCTTAAAAGCCGGCTTCGTTTCCAAATTTGTTCGCACACATTAACATTTCATGCAGTCTCGAGAAGAACACTTCAGCTCGCTTTGAATGTAGATTAATAATATGCAAACCCATATCATATCTTGTACTTTTTTCCTCTTCGGGCGAGTGTGGAAATAAAATATTTGACAAAACACGATCAAAACCTTACAGCGAATTTTTCGTGTTCTCAAGTGTTATCACGTTTATTTTACACAATATGACGCTTACTTGAGTTACTAGCACATGGTCAATTCTCATGCCAGAAGCTACTTCATTTACATGTAAAGCTCAGTGCTGCATTCTGCTTTAAGACCGAGGAAGCGAAGAACGAAGTTGAATAATTTGAAAATAAAACTTTAGACGCTCCTTCGATAAATTACATCTTTTCGTTATTTGCTAATATGGAAATCATTTAATGAAAATATTGTTCACCTTGCAAAATAAACTAATTTCGATGCAAAATAAAATACTACAATTACTCCAATAAATACCACTGAAAATCTCCAGATCGTTAGTCGTATTAAGAAAGTCTTTTTAAATAAAAAGGAAAAAACGCAAATTCAATCACACACTTACCCAACCTTCACAACAAAACTGACTGATCACTCCGCGATTTCAAGTAACGTCAGTTGAGCGAGAAATCCAAGCTGGCTATCTGTCTAAACAGATAACCAATTTATGCGTTTACTCCGCCTTTAATTTCGGAAGCACACGACTCACAAAGGTGACAATTCGTGACACGCTAAAATTCATTCATAAAGATATTTTCCCACCCGCGAGAAACGTCAATTTGTTGCCAGCTTGTCCAAGGAGAATTTAACTTAGTTAAAACTCCTTAAAGGATATTCTATAAAAGAAATTGATTTTGCACCCAGATGTAATAAAAAAATTTCTGAAACATTTTATTCGTTTTGTGCCAATAATTTTAAGCTAAATTTCACAAGGTGCTTTTCCCTTTGTGTTTAAAGGTGTGTTCAAATCCCATCGATCTGTGATTGGTTTGTCCACAAAGCGTGCGGAGTGAATTTTCATTCAGTAAGCAGTGTGAAGTGTGATAAGAAATCAAACAATTTTGTATCGAAACTCCGCAAACGAACTTTCATTTGCACATTTAATTGCTTTTATGCACGAGTGGGAAATATTATGTGGTAAAAGAGTATGATTTCCATATCTGAAAAACTCGACGGTTATTAAAAAGAGAATGTATTTTTTAAGTGGTTTTAAATAAAAGTGATTTAGGAGACAAAAGCAGTTGATTCCCAGCCTCACGAAATACGCGTCTATCCAACAAATCAATAAGAAAATTGCTACAGCTCGGTAACAGTTTTTTTGCCTGGATATTCTACATTGTTTTGTGTTTCAAGTTGTTTTCCTTTTTACACTGAGTGATATCAATTTAGCTGATGTTTGAATATTATATGATTAGCTAAAGAAGCCACTCGCCAATAATTACGTAACTAGCGCTCTCAAGTCACGGACGGCTTCGTATCATGCATTTTATCTTTATTATCGCGCTGAAAAGTTTGGTTTAATATCTTGTACTGCTCTCTAATTAGAAGGGGTTTTAACTTTGGTTTCAGAGGTCACGAAACTTTGACAGTTCCTGTACAAGCAGTTTTAGTTGCCTGAAGATGGATCCCATGAAATATCGTGATTAAATAAGGTCAACTTCTACAACTTGAGAGTGAGCTAATAATTGATTTCAATTCAACAAGCTTCAAAAACACGAAGAATATCAGCCTTTTAGGCTATACATTTTACCACTTGAGTAAATCCATAACCTAAGCAAAATGATAATTACTTTGTTCCAACCCTAGAAAGCTTATTTTAAATTACGTAAAGTCATGGTGTAGGTGCAAGTTATACCGAGGTCACGAAACAAGCACGTGCCGAAATGCACCCGTAAATGTTGCACTGGCAGATGAACCAAGGATTAATTAGAGTTCCAATTTGTATGAATAATCCTAAGTATTGCGTTGGCATTCTTCTGTTTTCCTTTCATGGGCTCAGAAATGAAGCCAAACGGTTTTTGTTTACTTTTATAATATTGTTTAGCTATTGCAAGATACTCCATCAGTATATTGGTGCCCGCATGACCGGAGCCAGTAATCCGTCCGCTTAAGGCATTATCCTTCAAGACAATTCAATGACGGCGGGATATCTATCTCAGTATATCTATCACTTCCCTACTGTATCATGAAGATCTCCAAATTCAAAGGAGTTATAGTACAGGAGTTGTGATAAAGTTTATTCTCTTCTTCTCCTGGCAAGAAAGAAAAATTCAGCCATCAATTTATCGGTCTAGAAAGTAAATGTTCTTATGCTAAGAGCCATGTGAGTTCACTTTTGTCAAACTTTCATTTAACCTGGCATTTTTCTGAAACGGTAATTAGGGCAAAGGGGAAACAGAATAATTAATTTGGGTTGAAATACAACGAACCGTGATATTTCTCGAAGGGTTTTTGAAATTAATCGGCTGAGAGAGCCTCCTCGGCTAGAGTAGGTCTCACCTACCATTTCCGAATCTTCAGTATTTTTTTTTTTCAGAGAATTGAGCCATATACAGGAGGGCTTGTTTTCTTTTCTGCACTGATCGATATCAAACAGGAGCCGCAGATCTTAAGCCGTTCTCTTCATGAAAAGCCCATGATTTTGCTGGGCCGGATATTTAATACCTATAAAAGGAAATACATCAAATTTATAAGACTTGCCCTTTCGCTTTTCCGTTCTCTAACAGTGAGGCAGAAACTGAAATTTTCGAACGGTTTGCCTTTTTGTAAAAGAAATAACAATAAAAGAGGCCGGCAGTATACGCTAAACTACAACTGATAAGGATTAAATTCGTCATGGAGGCAGTAATTTTCATTTTCATCTGTTTCTGCAATTAAGGGTAAAAAGACTCCTTTTATTTTCATTTTCCCTATCAATACATTAACACAGGAAGCAACGAATTTGGCCAGCTTTCCACTTCTTACCACCAGCCCGAGATAAGCACATACAGAATATTTTTCTTTTATGTAATCGATCACGAAGGCGGGAACGAAATGTTTATGAAATTCTATAAATCGCCTCAAGGGTTGACATGGATTTGGAAAGATTGATATGTTTTTCAATAAACTCCCTTTCAGAGATGAGAACTCTTATAATTGTCATTTGTGTCCTTCCAGTCAACGTGCAATTAACAGATCACCTTTAACAATCAAATCCCACATCATGTTAGAAAGGTTTTGTATCACATGCAGTGTGGTGACAAAAGAACGGTTATTCTACATGAAAATTCATGTTAGGTATTGATAACAAATAATATTGCCTTCTTTTGTAGAGAGAGAGAGAACAAAAAAAAAAAAAAAAAAAAAAAAAAAAAAAAAAAAAAAAAAAATGGAAAAAAAAAGCAGTCCGTGCCTCACTACACGTGGTGTACCGTACAAAGATAAAACGCTGACACTGCACGGGAAAAATCTGCCGGGCTGATTTCTTGACAGCTAACGGAATACTGACTTGTATGGTCCAGAAAACCAAGAAAGCTTGGAACCGTTGGAACATGGAACAATTGCGAAATCAGAGCCAAACTACGGACGTGTTTGCGGGTTGGTTAAACTGAAGCTATGACGCTGACATCACTTGGAAAATAAACAGCGGGTAAACAACAAATTGAACTTGTTTCAAGGCGTGTAACTCGTGTTGTTAAAGACTTTTGATTACGTCAGGATGAAGATTTTTGTTCAGTGATAGCTTTCGACAATACTTGATTCGGATGTTCATTTTATGCCTTCTTTTTCATGTAAATGTGAACTTGAAATGATTTAAAAGAAGGAAACATCTTTGATCTCCGAAGTAACCAGTTCACTGTTTTGAATAAATTTCAATCCTTTCGTGTTTTTTTTTTTTTTAAGATTTAGATAAACTTCACCAAGCCGCAAATATTGAGCAAATATCTTGCCAAATTTTTGTGCATTAAAAAAACTTGATTCAAAGGTCGTTTTTATCTCGCATTGAAAAATGCATGTTTATCAGATTTTCTAAAATTCAAATAGATCCCAAATATTTATGAGTATAAATAATTCGTAAAATAAAAATATCTTCATCTAATATTAGGGTCAAGAGAACTGATTTAACTGTCATAACTAACAATTTATCAAAA